GGGACACCGCTTGACACTGGTCTCCATGTAATAGTCAGAAAGAAGGTAACACAGACGAAAGATTAAGAAAGCTGACAAACTGAACTGGCTGAGGCATAAGGTACCAGCACCTGGAGCCAATTAATAGGACACTAGTCCCATTATTCTGTCTGTGGAAACAGAAGTTTGAAGTAAAATAACAGGCAGTAACTAATCAAGTGCACTGTCAGAGCAGAGAAGGAGCATGTTTGCAGGACTGTTTCAGCAGTGCTGTCAGGAATTCATCACAAGCAATAATACAAGAGATGCAACTGCTAGAGATTTTCCCTGTGAAATTCCATCCATCAGAATTCAGCAAGAATAAAAAAATACCACCTTGAATTAATTTTTTTTGTTTAAAAAAAATGAAACAAATACATCGCTACAAAGTTTTGAAGGGATGGAGCAAACTTGTCAGAACTGCAGTGTAATTTAAGCAATGTTTTCATTGGTTCACTATATACTTACATACTCTCAAAGAAGTCTATAAATGTATGTATCTCAAATACAGCTATGTTAATGCTGTCTTGCAATGTGGCATAATAGTCTGAGGTTTATGATAGTTGAGATGTTGAGTTACTTTCACTTCTTTGAAGTAGAATTGTTCTTTGTATCTATCTTTGTTTATGGTTTTGCTGTTGTTGTTGAAAACTGGGGAAATTCAGTGCTGCCATTTTCCTGTTCTACAGGCTGTGGAACGCTTGTTCCTAAAGTAGGAGCAATGTTTTTCCACAGGAGACACTTAAGGCAACTAAGGAAAGTGAGCTGACGTGCCCTTTGAAAGAGCTTAGTCTCCTCTCCACTGACTGTACGCAGTCGCAGGACGCGTGTCACCTAGTGTAACTGCATCCCTCAAACTTCTCAGTTCACGACACATCTAGACCACAGACTCTGTGTACGTAAGCCTGTGCAGGCACACAGGGACACGGGACAACGGATGGGACAGACAGACTGACCCACTGCCATCTTGTCTTCTCACAAAATCTGTCACATTAGGAAGTTTTTAAGATTTCCTCCCTCCCATCCACGCAGAAAGGAAGTACTGATTTCAAAGACAAAAGCGCTCTGAACCTCTAACTCCACACTGGACACAGGTAATAGGTTAATAATAAAAAAAGCATAAAGGTATTGGATAGATCAATGCAGAAGTCAGTGCATAAATTTCATTTATTTACAGACATACATACTTACCAGGCTAAAGCACGACAAAGTGCAGATACTAAAGCAGAGACTACTCACCTTCAATGTACAGGGGCTCAACGACATCGTGATTTATCAGTTCGAAGTTCTCATGACCAATCCAGTGCTCCACATTTCTTTTCCTGCCCGTAAAGAAGTTGTCCACAACTGTAACCTCATGGCCATCCATCATTAGTTTGTCAGTAAGATGAGAACCCACAAACCCTGCTCCTCCAGTTATCTGCGTTAGGACAGTTGGTATAAATTTCTTTTTCTTTTTACAGAAACACCAGACAAAGTCTACAAACATGAAGACAGAAGAACAGTAGCTTTCAGATCTTTGCATACTCCAGGGGAAACAACTCCATTTCCATGCTTTTTTTTTGCATTTAAAATTTCAAGAGACATGCTTGACATGTTTCATCACTGTTAGGCTAGAAGTTCTGCTAGCCATTCATATCAACAAAATCTCTTGTTCAGATTAGATTATTTTTCTTTTTTCCTTCAAATTGGATTGTGCCCTTTTATGCAACAGCAAGGCCTAAGAAGACCCAAAAAGGTAAGAGGAGAATTCTCTGTAATTCCCATTTCTCAGAAAAAAGATGACAGAATGCCAGATTATTTTCATGTAACATTTATAATATCAGACATGTCAAAGCCAGCTTTTCAAAGAAGGTAGGAAGGAAGGAAGGAGAGTATTCTTAGATGAGAGCAAGTCTTTGAAGATCTCTCATCTGAAGTATCTGCTAAAACCAAAATTATTCCTTTTGTGTTTTAATGCATCCTAAATCCACATCATTCTGGCCTGAAGTGGTCATGCAGTTGGACTAGATGACCATTGTAGGTCCATTCCAACTGAAAATATTCTGTTCTATTCTATACTCCTAGCTCAGACATCCAGAATTTGCCTGTCTTGGAACTTTATCATGTTTTACTGCAAAGAAATAAGAAGAAATAAAATATTTAAAACCTTGTACTCTTGTTGCATTGCAAATGTAGAAGCAGCAAGGAAGTCTTATTTTTTCCCTTTCTGCACCTCAGTCTTTAACAGTAAACAAACAAACAAAAAAAGAATCACTAACTCAGTACTGAAGCAGTCAACGCAGTAAGTAGTAAAATTGCAAGTTGTGTGACACATCCAGACATATCTATGGAAGCAATTATTTTCTCTGCATTTCATAAGCTGTTTTTAAGAACCCACAAAGACATGACAAATCACCACTCTCAAAGAATGAAGGGACTTACAGATGATGTCACACAGGCCTTTTACATGACTGCATGATCAAATTAACATTTTGAAAGCAGTTCAGCTGTTGATCTCTGTTCTTCAGCTGCAGTGACAACTCACCAAACA